ATATATATATATATATATATATATATATATATATATATATATATATATATATATATATATTGATTTAGCACACGATTCAACCCGAGGATAAGATCTACCACTAAGCGAAACAGTTGCCCACCGATTTCCTTCTCCAGTCTTCTCCCGTTCTTATTACTCCGTATCTAAATTATTTTACTGTCGAGAATTTATGTCACTACTACGGCACCTCATCGTTTCGAGTTGTTTGGTGAGGTTCCTTCTTAACCACAGCAGCTGATTTCAGCTAAAGTGAACGTTAAGCTGGAGATGTATACCCCAGCACACTATAAACTTATATATACGAAAATTAAAATTAAATTTTCTATCCCTTTACAGTTTCCGGAGACAAGAGGAGACATTTCCTACCTTTGTTTAAGTGACCTGGCTTACTGCCATGCCAGACCAATAGTCAACGGCAACTTCCAGACTGACATTTACAAAAGGAATAAAAACAAAAACCGAACTACAATATACCGTTATCTACGAAACGCTCCAACATCGATTCAAATCTTGGTAGAGCAAATGCAACCACGAGGGACAAATATGGATAATCAGCGCAGAGCAGCACAAGCACATACGGTAAACCGCACAGTCGACACACCTTCACGGACAAACTGGTGACTGAGCAGGACAGCGAATCGGTCACCTAGCAGTAAAGCACACATAAAAATACACAAGCACTCGCACAAATACACACACGCGCACACACATACAACGCATACAGACAGACGCACACACACACACACAAAGAGCACACACACACACACACACACTCACACACACGTACACATACATACATACATACATACATACACACATACACACACATATACACACACACAACGGATACAGATATGCACAGCAGATGCAAATAGTTATCGTCACAGGCATATGTGACATGAGGTATTACATGAGACATGAGTATTAACACTTCCTGATTCGTCATGAACAGGAAGAAGTTAAAAGCTGTCGTACCTGTAGTGGAAAAATCTCTTCCTCCACTCTCCTTCACAGCTTTCATGGACCTGAACAAATTACCATTCAGAGTAACAGATAGTTCTGTCCAAATTCACCTGGGTAGGATCATTAAGTGATCAAAAAATTAAACTATGTGCACCCTTGAATAATGAGTGGAAAGTCACGAATGTGAAAGTGAAGGTAGATACCATGCTTTCTAGTTTCGGCCACTAACAAGGTCAGCTGCTTACTACTTGCCCGATTTTACGCTTATTGGCTATTAGATTTGACCAAGTGCTACATC